TCGATAATCTTCTTCTTCTTCTCGGTGATGGAGACTTCTTCGGCGATCTCGATTCATACGTGTTTGAAAGAGCATCAGAAGATCTACAAGGAATGGTTCAACATCGCCGATTCAGGTTTCTTATATCGTTCTTCGGATTTGATAATACTAACCAGTGTAGTTTATTTTCTGTTTGTGATTAATATTGGTTTTTTGCTTCTCTGAAATTTGCAGATGGAGATGGTCGTGTTTCTGGGAACGATGCTACAAAGTTCTTCGCGATGTCAAAACTTTCTCGCCAGGATCTCAAACAGGTACAATTCTTCGTGTAATATGAGATTTGGTTTTAAGATGATTTTTGCTGATTTCATGCGATTCCTAACTTGACAAACTTGCAAGTACATGAAGAAGTGGATTTTGAAGTGTATAATCTGATTGGAATCATTTGCATTTGTTTTTAAAGGTTTGGGCGATTGCGGATTCGAAGCGTCAAGGATTTCTCGGTTTGGCCGAATTCATCACTGCGATGAAGGTATTGTTGTTGTGTCAATTGCATATCTTATTGAGTCAATTGAAAATCTTCTGTTGAATGAGTCTTTTACTCATTTGACTCTTTTTGTGCTCAGCTCGTCTCATTGGCACAAGAGGGACATGAAATCAATTCAGAGCTTCTGAAAGGTGCAAGTAAGTAAGAGCATTATGGTCAAAGAGAGTAGCATAAACTGTCCTTAGATATAGCAATTAGGTTGGATTTTGCTGTTAGACATTGGGTAATCTACTATGTATATGGTTTTTTTTTTTTTTATTGTAGTTGACATGAGGAATGTGGAACTTCCAGTGTTGGAAGGACTGGAAAACGTGGTATCTGTTAGGCTCTTTCTTATCTCATTTTGTTTTTTTGAATCTTTACATGATTTGGTTTTGTGTAATCTTACTATTGTGTTATGTATTTGTTTCCAGAAGCAGAAGTCATCAAAACAAAACGTAGATGTTGAAGACAATGGTTAGAATAGCATTGTTTCTTTTCTATGATTTTTTTTTCCTTCATGTGGTGTTTTCATTATGTAAGTAATTGTTGATTTGCTGGTTCAACTTGCAGTAGTTACCCAGCCACAAGTCACGGCAAAAACTCCTTGGTTCAAATCAAAATCTATTATAAAGGTTTGATACTTATGTTTTAATCATTGGAAATGTCAGTCTTCGAAATAATGGAGTTGTGTGTTGTAAGTTGTAACAAGTATTCTGCCACTTTTCATATCCAGCCACAGGTAAATGTGGTGACAATTGTTGATGGCTTGAAAAAATTGTACAATGAAAAGCTAAAGCCTTTGGAAGTCGCTTATCGTTTCAACGATTTTGCATCTCCAGTATTGGTGAGTGAACTCAGAAACAGTTTTGAGGTTTTGTTTATTCTATTTTTTTTTTTTGAGTTATGAGTTGCAGATCTTATATCTATATCACCGTGGGAAATGAACTCATTTTGTACTTATGATATATTTTGTTTGTTCATATGCAGACTAATAGTGATTTTGATGCCAAACCCATGGTAATGCTTTTGGGTCAATATTCGACGGGGAAAACAACGTTTATAAAACACTTGCTTGGATGTGACTATCCAGGTAAATTGTTCTGTCTTCTTGAACTCATAGCTATACAATCAATCTTCAATTATGTATCTGATTCCACCATTTTCCTCAGGAGCACACATTGGTCCAGAGCCAACAACAGATAGGTTTGTGGTTGCAATGGTATGTCAATATGTCTTGATTTGATTGTAGTCAGATGATCGCTAATTACTTGTGTAAACTCATTCAAGTCTTATGGTTCATTTTCTTTCAGAGCGGGCCAGATGAGCGGACTGTACCTGGAAATACCATGGCTGTTCAAGCTGACATGCCATTTAACGGGCTAACAAGTTTCGGAGGTGCTTTCCTATCAAAGTTTGAGTGTTCTCAGATGCCTCATCCGGTGAGTAATTATGCATCACCCAACTGTTTCTTTTTGATCTTTCATTCTGGTGGTTTATATAAGCTTTGTCTTGCTGCTTGTTTCTTTTTCATTTTTTCAGTCTTTCATTCTGTTGGTTTATATGAACTTTGTCTTGCTGCTTGTGTTATGTAGGTCTTGGACCAAATTACTATTGTAGATACTCCTGGAGTTCTTTCAGGAGAGAAACAAAGGATGCAAAGAAGCTATGACTTCACTGGTGTTATCTCATGGTTTGCATCTAAATGTGATATGATCCTCCTTCTCTTTGATCCCCACAAGCTTGACATCAGCGATGAATTCAAACGCGTTATAACATCTCTACGTGGTAATGAAGACAAGATACGTGTTGTCTTAAACAAAGCTGACCAAGTTGATACTCAACAGGTATTTTCCGTTTGGTTGCATCAATAAGCTCAAGTCATTTTTACTCGTCTTTTTTGAATCAATCCAAAACTTGTGTTTGTAGCTAATGAGAGTTTATGGAGCATTGATGTGGTCGCTTGGTAAAGTTCTGAACACACCAGAGGTTGTACGTGTGTACATCGGGTATGCCTTTGAATACAACATGATTCATCGTTAATGAATTTCATTTAGTTACGCGATAGATTTTGATATGTTCTTTGGTTTTAACTTGTGCAGGTCTTTCAATGACAAACCCATAAACGAAGCTGCAGTTGGACCAATAGGTAAAGAACTCTTTGAGAAAGAACAATCCGATCTTCTTGCAGACTTAATGGACATACCCAAGAAAGCATGTGACAGAAAGGTATGATTTTGATGAGTAACAAATCTCAATTCAAGTTTTGGAAGGTTAAAAAGAAACTTACAATTTTTGTGTGTGTTTCTTTGTAGATTAATGAGTTTGTGAAGCGAGCTCGAGCTGCAAAGATTAATGCGTATATAATGAGCCACCTTAAGAAGGAAATGCCAGCAGTGATGGGAAAATCCAAAGCGCAACAACGTCTCATGGACAATCTCCAAGAAGAATTCGGAAAGGTTAGTAAATGTTTTTCTCTCTCGGATCATTTCGCGTAAGGTGTAGCCTAAAAGGGGTTAAGAAATCAATGCATTAACCTGGGATTCGATTTGGTTTCTACATTTCGTAAACCAACTATTTGAATGTAAACCAAACCAGAATTTAGAATAGCCACGCCTCTCTAGTGACCAAGAAAAAGCATTAAGTACACAAGAGACTATAATGTGGTAACATTTTCCAAATGTTTTTCATTGTTGATTTCAGATTTATGAAAGTGTTATAATAATGTTTTTTTTACTGAATTAAACAGGTGCAACGAGAGTATCATCTACCAGCTGGAGATTTCCCAAGTGTGGAGCATTTTAAAGAAGTATTAGGAGGCTATAGCATTGACAAATTCGAGAAACTGAAGCCTAAGATGATTCAAGCAGTGGACGACATGTTGGGGTACGATATTCCAGATCTCTTGAAAAAATTCAGAAATCCCTACGAATAAACAATGTCAGGTGTTTATGAGATTTGAGAGATTATTAATCTAGAGAATATGTCAAATATTTGGGATTTATGTTTTGTGTGTGTTTTCTGAAATTTTTAGTAAATTGATTCTTCTTCCTTTTATATTTACACACTTGCCTCTTGAGCTTATTAAAAAATCACCTACATAAGATATTCATATCAATATGAGGTTTTAACTTTTGAAATCGAGGGCAAATAAACTAGTGATTTGTGTAAATTGATTGTATTAGTGAAAAACTGACAATTATGACATATTATTATTGACTGTAACCTCAAACGCATGAAAACGCTTCGACAAAAAAAAAAAACCCACAAAAACCCAAACTCACAAGTCACAATCATTGAGAGAGCAAAAGCAAGAAAAGGAGATAGAAATGGAGAAGAAGATACCGAGAAGACTCGAAGGTAAAGTGGCGATTGTGACGGCTTCGACGCAAGGGATCGGTTTCGGTATCATCGAGCGTCTCGGCCTCGAAGGCGCTTCCGTCATCGTCTCTTCTCGCAAACAGGTTTCCCAAATCTCCCTCTTCAGTTGTTCTGTCAGTATCATTTCTATCTTCTGGTTTTGATCAATTGAAGATCTTCCCAAACGTTTCTTACTCACGGATCTTTGTTTTCGAGGAATTGTGGATTTTTTATTTGTTTACGGATTTGGTATTCATTCGGATTCGCAGTTTTGTAGGACTTGTGGAATTGAAATTGATGTTTAAAAAACAAAACTGGTAGTAAACAGCTTTGTTTATCCAACTTTTGTTGAGTAATATGTTGATTTATGTGTGTAGGCAAATGTTGAGGAAGCTGTAGAAAAACTCAAATCTCAAGGGATTGATGCATATGGAATCGTTTGTCATGTCTCCAATGCTCAACATCGCAAGAATCTTGTCGAAAAGACTGTTCAGGTAAGAGAGTTCTGTGAGCTTCTTGATTCATAGCTAAATCATACTGTAAACGACATTTCAAATTTTTAGAGCCGATTCTTTATCAAAATTGATCATGAACAGCTTCAAGCTCTCACTTTCGCACGCTTTGGAAATCTTTGATTTTAACTTAATAGAGATTACAATGCATTTCTCGGTTTTAATTGGAGTTTGGTTTCAGAAATATGGGAAGATAGATATCGTGGTCTGTAACGCCGCTGCGAATCCATCCACAGACCCGATCTTGTCTAGCAAAGAAGTTGTCCTCGACAAGCTATGGGAAATCAATGTCAAATCCTCTATACTTCTCCTTCAGGTAAAGCTTTCCTTGTAATTAGTTTCATTAGTTTTCAACACTCACAATGATGCAAAATCCCGATAGATCTATTTTCAATTTGATTTTGTGGACTTCTCTGTGTTCACTTTACCAGGATGTGGCTCCTCACCTAGAGAAAGGTTCTTCGGTTATCTTCATAACTTCCATTGCTGGATTTCAACCACAAGGAGCCATGGCTATGTATGGGGTCACTAAGACAGCGCTTCTCGGACTAACCAAGGTATTTTTGGTATTAGTAATTATCAGCGTCTCCATCTCATGACTAAACGATGATGATGATTACATTGAACATCATCAGGCACTTGCTGCTGAGATGGGGCCAGACACACGTGTCAACGCGGTTGCACCCGGTTTTGTGCCCACACACTTTGCGTCTTTCATCACTGGAAACTCCGAAGTGGTAATGTTTATCGATTGAAACTATTAGATTTTGAGGTTATTATTGTTTCTCAAGTGATTGGTAATAATCATACAACACTTGTGGATATATGCTCAGAGGGAAGGCATCGAAGAGAAGACTCTGCTTAACAGGTTGGGAACAACGGGAGACATGGCTGCTGCGGCGGCTTTCTTAGCATCAGAAGATGCTTCTTACATCACCGGAGAAACTTTGGTCGTCGCTGGAGGAATGCCTTCAAGGCTTTAAAAGTTATAAACATTTTCCCCTATCAATATATAGTTTAGTTTTCTACAAAATAAGGTAATCAAGAATTAGAAAAGAAAGAAAGTTAATAATTATATTGCGACGCAATTGGTTATGTTTTGTTGGTCTTGTAACAGAATTTCTTCATAAGATTTCATACGATTTCAATCAAGATTAGAGGAAGCTAGGCTTCGATTTTATGCAAGATACTCAACATGAATATCATTGATCTTGCTCAGATACATTGTTTCTCAAAATCAGAATTTAAATTCAATAAGTTCCATAGATTAGCGAAGCCAAAAAAGAAAACAAAAGATCTCTAAAATGAGGTAAAAAGAGCCAACTACCAAGCATTTCTTCGCTCTTTCTTGATGGAAAGAGACCGAAAACTCGAAAACACATCAGACATGTCAACCTCGAGCAGAGCATCATTCATGACATCTCTTAGATTCTTCTCATCAGCCGCATCATAGAAACATCCACGTCTCTTCGAGTCCCTTACGAGCTTTGTCCAAATCGAACCACTCAGCGAAAGAGTTGTCTCGTTCCCAATCACCCATAAACAATGCCTTGCACGAGTGAGTGCTACGTTTGCTCTTTGAAGGTTACAAAGAAACCCTATTTTACCATTACCGTTACTTCTAACGGTCGATATGATTATAACATCTTCTTCTCCTCCTTGAAACCCATCAACCGACCGAACATTCAAAGTGAAAAGCTGATCATCTGATAAGGACTTGTACTTCTCTCCGATCTTCTCTTGTATTGCTCTAATTTGACCTTTATATGGTGATATAACCCCAATGCTCATCTTTTTCTTTTTCTCACTTGACACTGTTTCAAAAATCATGCAGATTAAAAAAAAATACGAAAGAGACTAAGGTAGTGACCAAAATAAATAACGAATTAAGATCAAGATCTGAG